CCTCCCTCCCCTCTCCCACACTAACACTCGTAATTGAGAGCCGTGGACAATGCATTCAAGTATATGAATGCATTGCCCACGGCTCTAAATTAAAAAAATCTTCAAACTTCAAAATCTCAAAATAGCCGCCACTCAACGCCTTCCAAGGCGACGGCCGCCTTGGAAGGCGTCTGTTGGCAATTGCTGACTGACTTCTTCTGGTGTGGTGTCGACCCTATGACATGTGTACCTCTGACAGAAGCATATCTGGAAAGAATGTATTATTACATATGAGGTGGAAACAGATGTGAAAAAAGAGAGGGGAGGAACTCACTGCTACGGCAATTATCAAAGCGATGATCAGCAGAAAGAGAAGGAGCAGTAACTGCCCCAGAAACACAGTCAGTACTCCGGTAGCAAATGACTGATCTTCTGCCTGTTTGGGGGCGCCTTCCATTTGTTTATATAGTTCCGGGAACATTTTTCTGAAACAAATTACTTAGTAGAAACCACATAATAAACCATAAACATAAACCAAATATAATAGAAACCATGCCGAGCTAAGAAAAACTTTACCTTTTCCGGGTACCTTCAATGCACCAAAAAAAAACAGCAATCACAACCGACCGGAACAGACAGCCTGAAAAACAACACTTAAAACAAACTGTCAACACAACAGAAACTATTGCATGCAAATAGAAACCATATCCGGTTCAAAAAAACTTTTTACCTCTTCACGGATCTTCTAGACGACGAATGCGCACAAAAAAAACAGCGATCACAACCGACCGGAACAGACAGCCTGAAAAACAACACTTAAAACAAACTGTCAACACAACAGAAACTATTGCATGCAAATAGAAACCATATCCGGTTCAAAAAAACTTTTTACCTCTTCACGGATCTTCTAGACGACGAATGCGCACCAAAAAAAAACAGCGATCACAACCGACCGGAACAGACAGCCTGAAAAACAACACTTAAAACAAACTGTCAACACAACAGAAACTATTGCATGCAAATAGAAACCATATCCGGTTCAAAAAAACTTTTTACCTCTTCACGGATCTTCTAGACGACGAATGCGCACAAAAAAACAGCGATCACAACCGACCGGAACAGACAGCCTGAAAAACAACACTTAAAACAAACTGTCAACACAACAGAAACTATTGCATGCAAATAGAAACCATATCCGGTTCAAAAAAACTTTTTACCTCTTCACGGATCTTCTAGACGACGAATGCGCACAAAAAAAACAGCGATCACAACCGACCGGAACAGACAGCCTGAAAAACAACACTTAAAACAAACTGTCAACACAACAGAAACTATTGCATGCAAATAGAAACCATATCCGGTTCAAAAAAACTTTTTACCTCTTCACGGATCTTCTAGACGACGAATGCGCACAAAAAAAACAGCGATCACAACCGACCGGAACAGACAGCCTGAAAAACAACACTTAAAACAAACTGTCAACACAACAGAAACTATTGCATGCAAATAGAAACCATATCCGGTTCAAAAAAACTTTTTACCTCTTCACGGATCTTCTAGACGACGAATGCGCACAAAAAAACAGCGATCCACAACTATTGCATGCAAATAGAAACCATATCCGGTTCAAAAAAACTTTTTACCTCTTCACGGATCTTCTAGACGACGAATGCGCACCAAAAAAACAGCGATCACAACCGACCGGAACAGACAGCCTGAAAAACAACACTTAAAACAAATTGTCAACACAACAAAGACAGAAATCACGAAGAAGCGCCTAAAAAACAACGCTTGAAACAAAAACAAACAACACTTTAAACAAAAACACGCGAAAAAGCAGGAATCTGCCTTGAAACAAGGCAGTTCTGGGCTGAAACAGCTGATAATGCGGCGAGCTATCGATCGGTACGCGTTGCGGCCGCTTTCATTGAAAACAGTCGATTGGAGCACGGTGGTTAGCCCAGAAACCATCCTGGAGTCTTCTTCGGGAGTTTATTATTCTTTCTGGTGTGGAGCTTCTGAGGAATGGTAAACAGCATGCTACGGAGGACTAAACACAGTTGAATTTTCTACCTAGTTGCAATCTGAATGTTCCCCCGTTAGTGAAATATTCTGATGTGCGGTGGTCGCGCGGCTGGAAATTCGCAAGCGGGTTTTTATGCTTCACACAAAGATTGCTTCTTTCAAACGCAGTTTCATCAGGGTTAAAATCGTCCTGGAATAGCCCTATCTTTTCTCTTTCCAATAAGCTCTACAGTTTTCCTGAAGACCCGCTAGTTCAGGAGATATTTTAGATGGGTCACGGTTGCGCTACCCTTTGAACCACCCGAAAGATCGACTCCAGCTGTGAAGACACACCTTCGGAAACTTCGATGTTTCTCCAAAAAACGTATTCCTGTTCAAATGAGGGGAAGAAGAGCTTCCTTATCATCGATCTCGTGGGTGCGCCCTATGCATCCGATTGCCGCTCTCAAAGACGGAGGCGTACGAAGGGCTCTACAAAATGTCTTCATCAAGAGGATGTCTTCAGAGTCATAGAAACATGAGTCGTAATCCCTCATCCATGCGTACCCATCAATGCTGCAGACCCCTGAAGTGCATTTATTCAACGTCACTTAGTCATTCGATTTCCGTCTGAAAGCTCATCCGTGCCCGTTTGTGTAGCGGTTAGACGTCGCCTTTCTCTCTCTCTTTATTGACTTCTTTTTTTTCTTGCTGTCGTGGCGACGCCGAACCGCCACGCAAACGCGCGCGGATGAGTTTTTTCTTCCTCCGGCACGCCCCACTTCGATTTCTCACAGCTACATGCGCGCTACGCGCTCGCCTATTGCTGTCCTTGCGCTTAGGTTCCTCATCGCAAATTCACACCTTTAGAGACTCGTTCTTTCACAGGTTTTGTGTCCTGCGCATCTCATTGTTCCCACGCTTCAGTCGCAAATGCTATTCCACTTATTAACTATCGTATGGATTTCTATTAATTCTTTTCAGAGCTCCGCAAGCTGCACGACGAGATATACCGGTCAAGGAAATGTGCTTGGACCACACGTTTGTTGCTGCATTTTTCCTCTTAGGAGTCGCTACAAGATTTTCTGTCGCTGACCACACGACCTGTCACCCTATCTTCAGTGAGATCTCTTCGCTCAGTTTCGCGACATCTAGCGACACGCAGTTCATTGAACTTTCATTGTCTGAAGCATGCCATAAAGGACACAGTCAACGCCTGAATCTGAATAAGTACGGACTGCTTGTGCTGGAAACAAAGCCTATTTTGGTAAGATTTTAGTATTTTGACAATCCATGTTCGTATACGTATATATTACAGCTCGGTGAACCAGACGCTTTCACCGTGAAGAGTTTCGTCGACTTCAACAATAAAAAGTGGGAGAAGAAAAAGGGGAAACTGGAAGACTTCTACGTTGTTGGCAGTTCGCTTGAGGAAAACTCGCGTATTGATTTCAAATTCTACGAATTTAGTGAGAAAGTAGCCAAGTGTTCGCGCTTTGTCAACTGGCCTAACTGTAACAAAAAGGTAGAATCGACTCACGGGAAGAGCATAACGGATTTCTTCAGCGGGAGGTCTACAACAGGCAACAATATTTATATCACTGAAAAGCGGGAAGTTTCACGCTCATCTCAAGAATGGCTCTCTAGTAGGATCAAGAGCTTTGTTGCTTTTGCTCACACTCAGGACCGGAATTGGATGCTACCTTCGGAGAGACTTGAAATTTTGCTTCCTAGTCGACCTGCTCTGCATGTTCTTCCTTATAAGTCTCTTGATGACAAAGGCATCTCAGTTTCTCACTGCGGCTCTGATTGGGCCCTTACAGCTGCTTCCCCACGTCAGAGCAATGTTTGCAGCGGTGAGAAATTCAAGCGTTTGCTGAAAATGGAACTAGCTCCGGCGGCACATCAGCCCTGTATTCCAGCAGAGAGCGATATGGATATAGGCTCAAGTGACCAGGCATCAGACGACGATCGAAGCGAGGTGCCTGCAGGTCATGGAGAGCCTATGGATGTGAACGATGCCGAAGAAGTCGTGCCTGAAACAATGGAAACGAGAGAGCAATGCATTCTTGAGGTCATTCGGCTGAAGCGCACGATTAATGATTTACTTGTGAAAATTGAAACCGTAGAATTGGAACTCCGCATGGTTCGTGAGGAGCTCAGAGAAAAGAATACTTTGACTAGCGAAGCGCTAGAATTGGCTGGTGATGATCAAAAAAAGGTTCGGATTGTACAAAAGTAAAGAAGATATGGCAAGTTCAAGGCGGAAGCTGTGCCACATGAAGGTTGACGGTAGACCGTTATCACTGAAGCAGATAAATACTTTAGCCAAAGTTCCGTGGCTTGCCTACTACAGAGATCCATCCAGACCTAATGCCGACTTCATGCGTTGCAAGCTGTGCAACAGACACACAGATGGCAACGAAGTTGAATACAATCCCGACGATGACCACAAGAAATGTGATGGATGGAAGGAAGAGAGCATTAATAGAAACACGATGGGAAGGGGCTCTGTTTTGTGCATCAAGCGATTTTTCGGACGCGGCACACCCATTACTCGCTTACTTCAGAGGATAAAGGCTCATGAATCATCTACGGAGCACAATAACAACTTCCGCGATTTTCACAATACGATGGGGTCATTGGACTACAGCGTGCCCCAAGATGTTGAAGCAACAGTCTCATCTACTTTGACTGCATATACTATAGCTAAAGAACGATTGCCACTCGCTAAGCAATTTCCCCTGCTGTTGCTGGGTATGCGAGCAGGAGCGGCTCCCACCACTGCACACTACGACTCAACTACGGCCCAGAGAATGATACAAACGTTCGCAGAGCACATGAAATACGATATACTAAAGTATGTGGTTGACACCGACTCGTATTTCTCTTTACTCACCGATGGAACGTCAAATGAGGGCGTTAAATTGATTGTTTTTCTCCTTCGAACGGTATCGCCTCTGAATCGACCAATTACGTTCCATCTTGCTCTGGTAGAAGTGAAAAGCGAATCTGCCCACGAGATCGTTGAGGCGTTCACAAACTATATCAAGGGGCTAGCTTCCTGGGCAGTAACTCCTGGCTTGGATGAGGAACCCTACAGTTTTGCTATGAGACGGATGGTAGCGCTTTCCAGCGATGGAGCTTCTGTAATGGATGGTATTCGCGAAGGTGTCCATGCGCAGTTGAAGCAACTTATTCGAAAAGAAACAAATGGCAAACGGGAGCATTTCCTTCTGTCCGTATGTGGTGCCCACAAATTGAACTTGGTGGTCAGAGGACTAAAAGGAGCTGCCTTTAACCTCACACAAGCAGTTGTTACGGAAATGCACAATATATTCGGTTCCTCTCTAGGCACACGAGCACGTGCTATTTACTTCGCGACTGCTACAAGCATGGGATTCCCTCACCTGCAAATGGATGCCTTACACTTAGTACGGTGGTCAGCAAGCTTACAGGCGTCGCTGTCAAAAATACTTCGTGTGTATCCTGTCCTTATCCGGGCTTTGTATGGAGTGATCATAGACGGAAACTCATCTCCAGCCATGAAAAAACGTGCTGAAGCAGCAAGGTTCGCCTTGAGCGATGCGCGAACATTCATTATCTTGCATCACGTCAACGCGACTCTTTCTAGCTTCGCTAGGTTTTCGGAGGCCCTTCAAGATGAGGAAGCACTTATGGTTGATTTTTTGTCCCGTTGGAGGCAGTTGAGTTCAGCACTCGAGGACGACTCTATAAAAACAACTGTGTATCACTATCTTGCTCGCAGTGGCTTTCTTCAGAAGTGGGATCGTAATCGAAATAAGTATGTCAATCCTGATCAGAAGTTTCTGAGAGATTACTGCATGGGTCGAACTATGCAACATCACAGCGATGAAGGTCTGACTCCATTCGACCATCTCGGCCTGAATCCTCGCAAGTTTCCCGACTGCAGAGCAGTGGAACCGCCAAGTTCAGATGAGCATCGAACAGAAACAGCTGACCCACTCCGTGTGCAGATGTTTAGAAATCCTGCTATTATACACGAATCCTACAGTGAGCAACATTCTTCTGATTCTGCACCCCCCAAGGAGGACGCTACAATCGAAGACTCATTCACCCTAGCTAAGGTGTACCGACACCAGATTATGGCTACATGTCAAACAGAAAGTCTTATCGATAACTTCTACACGGAAATCCATGCGAAGCTCGGCCACTATATGGACTTCCGCCGCCGCATTACAGAAGCACCCTCCTATTTCCCATATGCGCTGGACAGGCACATTCTTCTTGACATAATAGAATGCAATGGTGACTACGAGAATTTCAAGGACTGTGTTTTGCCAAATACTAGCCGAGAAAACCGCGGCTATCCTGACTACATGACAAAGAGGGAAATGTGGATAAAGACCTCCGCCATCAGCGTATTTGGCAATCTGTTGCTGAAATACAAACACTGTGCTCCCTGACGGATGCAAAAAGGCACTTCACAGAGTTCTATGATTCCATTGCTAAAGAAGTACGTATGTTGAATGACTGGCCGACCAATCTTCGCCACGACAAGGACAGCATACGACTCTATCAAGAGCTGCTCAACAGGGTCGATGTACTCAAGATCCCCATGCTGTGCGTCAGGTAAAGAGTTGCATGTATTCTTATTTTATGTTGCTATTTCACGTTCTCGTTTTAAGGCCCTGAAGTGCTTGCTTGTTATTCCGCAAGCAATGCGGACCCGAACGCAGTTTCTCCACGGTAAATAGACTCACACGAACCGATCGGAACAACCTGGGAGTTCCAATGTTGGATGCTCTAATGAGGTAGACTTTTTATTCATTTCGGCGGTACTGCATCTTTTTCTGGAGTGTTTTCATCTTTTGACAACTCAACTGTTCCAGGGTACACAGAGACGGACCCAGCCTGCTCACTGTTAAGCCGAAGAACTTAGTCCGACAGTGGATGACTCCTCTTCCTGGCCTGGACCTTCGTCCACACATGCCCTCCACTTTTGTTCGATCGGATAGTTTCATGAAGGACGTTAAAGATGCCATGCTGAAAGGTACCATTCCTCCACATGTCCCTTCTCAGTGGTGAGTAGCACATGCAATTGCAGGAGACACAGATGCGCTTCTGGATCTCTACGTCACTCATTACATGACCAAGAATCGATTAAACGATAGACATGACGCCCAAAAGATAATGAAAGTGAGACGGGAGCTCGAAACTTCCAGAGCAATGATTTTTTCTTCAGGAGTTCTCCACGACAAGGATGTCTAATAAATCTTTTATCATTTAATAGTGATACAGCAGCAACATTAATGCCATTAATCACATATGATCTATCTTGCCGTCTAAATTCACTTAAAGGAAGGTCTTCTATCGAGCTCCGAATGCAGGTTTTGGGATAGGCTTCATAAACCATCGACTTTCCTATGGAAAGAAGGCTGATGAACGGATAAATCTGAAAAAAAACTGCTCATGAAATTTTCACGTTTTTTTAAGCTGTACGGCTTTCATAGCTCCACTCATCTTATCAGGTGAATTGTCATAGCGTTGCCAGGTGCTCACTGACCCCTATGGTTACGACCCCCCCCCTCTCCATCGGCCAAGTACGACCCCCCCCATGGGTTTCGCACAACGATGCTGTACCCTGGCTAAGAATCAGATGGAAATGAGAAACTGTGAGAAAGGGATTGAATTTAGGGAGAAAGAACATAAAGGGAAGCTGGGGTCTGGTACAGTTGCAGCGCTGTCTCTCGCTACAATTGTAGCGCTACAATTTCGAACGCTGCCTTGTTCTTCGTGTGGAAAAGGTATTAAAGACAGCCCCCGCGATCAAGTAGTACATGGTCGTCCTTCCTTGGGCAGGTAGTTCAACCCCCAAACTTGATGCTCTCTCTCAGCGAGCGAGGAGCTGAGGAGTCGTGAGGGTCAGGCAGTGTCAAAGTTCTAGTTCTAACGCCTGCTCAGTTGGACCGCCTCACTAGCTAGCTGCCCTCTGACGGAGAGCCGCTCAGTTGTTCCTTGTTGGGACGGCAGTCATTAATCGGAACTGCATGTATTTTTTGCTGACCGCGCTCGTGCTCGTAAATAATTCTGCTCTCCTTCATCACATTTTATTCATTGGGAGCACGTACAGTCAACAGCAACCCATCTCGTAAGGTAAAACGCGTAAAAATCACGAATGATGCAATTTCTGTGGTGCAAAAGCTCGACGCACTTCACTACACTAAAACATGCTCGCTACCGTAACCCTAAGTTCGGACGCCGGCTTTTTAAATGTTTCCTTTCTTTTCAAGAGTTTTTCCTCCATGTTTCTGTTGTTTTTTGTTTTCTTTTCTTCGCATTCGATGATATCCACTACTGGGAGATGTGACAAAGTGATTTGTGAGCCAGGGCTTGCACAGAGACCGCAGGGAGGTGTGACTGTCAGGGCGCGATTTTGTTTATGGTGTTCTTGAGGGCTCTTGTTTCTTTTTTCCTTCATTGAGGAATTACTTATCAGCTACTGTTTCATAATTGATCAGCAATTATCCTTGACACTTTTATCGCGGGAGCTGTCTTTAAGGCGGGAGCTGGCTTACCTCCCGAATGAGTACGCAGGAAAGGATTCCCTTCTGGCGATTTGTGTGCTCCCGGGAATACGCGAGCGTCTTCGCTTGTTTTCGGTGATTTTCCCTTTTTCACTGACAACTGGACAAAAAATAATACAATAGATAAATAAATAAATATCAACACTTCCAAGAGTTCACTGCCGGATGAACAAGCAAAAACTTCTCTTCGGGCCAATCGTAAATCCCAAGAGCGCGCCTTTTTTCTTGTTTCCTTGTAATTTTTCCTCTTTTCACTAGTGGGGCGGAACGTGCGCTGCGGCTACTATATGTATATAATCCGCTATGGTGTGTCTGTGTGTTGTGCTGTGTGTGTGTGTGTGTCTGTTGTGGTGTGTGCTCTGGTCTGTCTGTCATCTGAAATTCATAGCAAGCGTCACGGAAAGATTAGGTTGATGACAGTTTCCAAGATTATGATATACATGGCAGGACGGGAACACTTTTGGTGGGTGACAGGAGGTGATAACACTTGATAAGATTCGATAAGGGGCCTTAGAAGCGGAGGGTGACCGAAATCGTAGCACAAGGTGCAGCAGCTGCGGGACCTTGATTTCAGAAGCGATATACACGGCAGGCGGAACATTTTGGGGGTGACGGATTTTTGTGGGTGATAGCACTTGATAAGATTCGATAAGGGGTCTAGAAGGGGAGGGTGACCGAAATCGTAGCACAAGTTGCAGCAGCTGCGCGACCTTGATTTCAAGAAGTGGTACAGGGGAAGGGATGGACATGATTGGGAGGGGGGGGTGACAGAATGGGATAACACCTGATAAGATTCGATAAGGGGCCTTAGAAGGGGAGGGTGACCGAATTCGTGGCAAGTTGCAGCAGCTGCGGGACCGTGATTTCAAGAGCTGAGCTGGGGCTGACAGGAGCTGATAACATCTGATAAGATCCGATAAGGGACCCTAGACGTCGGTGTCACCGAACTCTTAGTGCAAGTGGTGTAGGGGAAGGGAAGTGGACATAATTGGTGTGTACAGAAGCTGATAACACCTGGTAAGATTTCATAAGGGTATCAGACGCAAGGATCACCAGTTCTAATATTGCTGTCGAGGTGAAATTGACACCATGTTCCGAGAGTGTATACTAGGAGGGACGGGGTGGGTGACAGAATCTAACAACATCCTACTATATATAATCCGCTAAGTGTGTCTGTGTGTGTGTGTGTCACGAAATTCATAACACCTGTCCCAGTGGCAGAGAAACGTTGATTCCAGGAAGTGATGGAGGGGGTGTGACGGGAACACCATTGGTGGGTGACAGGATGTGGTATCAGTTGATAAGATTCGATAAGAGGCGTCCAAAGGGGATGGCCACCCAGTCCATAGTGCGGGCCACTGCAGCAGTGGGACGTTGGTTCCGAGCAGTGAAATAGGGGTGGGACGAAACATTATTGGTAGGTGACAGGATGTGATATCAGCTGATAAGATCTGATAATGGGCATTAGAAGGGAAAGGACTACCAAATTCATAGTGCGGCTCACAGGAACAGTGGGTCCTTGGATCCGAGAGGTGATATAGGGTGTGGGACGGGAACATTATTGGCGGGTGACAGAAAGTGATAACAGTTGATAAGATCCGATAAGCGGAAAGAGGAGGGTCATCAAATTCGTAACGCAGGTTACAGCAACCTCAGATACGTGAGGTGATGAAGGGTGTGGGACGGGAACATTATTGGCGGGTGACAGAAAGTGATAACAGTTGATAAGATCCGATAAGCGGCCTCGGAAGGGGAGGGTCATCAAATTCGTAACGCAGGTTACAGCAACCTCAGATACGTGAGGTGATATAGGGTGTGGGACGGGAACATTATTGGCGGGTGACAGAAAGTGATAACAGTTGATAAGATACGATAAGCGGCCTCGGAAGGGGAGGGTCATCAGATTCGTAACGCAGGTTACAGCAACAGTGGGACCTCGGATCCGATATAGGGTGATATGATAGTGATACGGGACGGGAATATTATTGGCGGGTACGGAAGTGATAGAGCTAAAATTGACAAGGTAACATGGGAAAATCCGCTTCACCGCTCACAACAACAATGCGATCGATATGACTCAAGTATAACGATCTCAGTGATTCCAACAGAACTCATTCCTCACTGCTTATTAGTAACGACATCGTGTACGACCGCTAAGCCAGCTCTATTCCAAATGCATGTGGTTTGTTTACAGAGATGTTATGAACAGCAGCAACTGACTTTATCACTCTTACCACAATTATCTTCCATCAGCAACTTCAGTGAGGGCCATTTAAAGGGTTCTGCTGAATGCGGTAGTGCATTCCAAAGCAAGACGCTTTAGGAAGACAGATTGCATAAATTATAGGCTGCTTCAGTGGCTGTCCAAACAGGCTGCACTATTTCCGTGTAGGTTATGAACGTACCAGTCGGATCGCTGGCTAAGGCCGGCTTTCCTCCTTCTGTGATGCGGGGGGGGGGCGCTGCTGCTGCTTCTGCGCCTTGACGGAACAAGCGCTGCTTTTCAGTTCTTGGCTGATGCAGAAGATTCCTTTGAACAGTGTGGTTGGTCAACGATCCTTAACTTAGCACGCGGCAAATCCGCATGGCCCGGCGAAGCCGGGCCATGTCACAGAAGGAGGAGCGCCCGGCGACAGCCGGGCGATCCGACTGGTTTGAAAATAATACACAAATATTAAAACCAACATTTATTGTGTTTTTTTTTCTGGGAGAAGCCGATTTTGATAAGAAAGTTGAATTGAATAACTATGCCATCCAAATCAGCTTCCCATCAAAATCAACTTTTTTCAAAAGTGGAAAGAGGGAAATTCCGAGTAAAACGGAAGCAAAACTACAGGGGAACGAATGAAAAGCTTTGAGGTATTGTTTGTGTATTACTTGCAGTACGGTTTGGTTTGCACATAATATTTACTGAAAAAATTCTCTGCCCGATTCCAGTCGAACTAAAAACGTATGAAACACTCACTTCATCCACCAAAAATTGCATGCCTGTGCCGGAATCGGCAATGGGAGGTTTTGTCGTTTGACGCTTACCGCAATCGCGCCACTCGACAAACGGGAGTTTCTGCGAAACGGCGTCACCGTAAAAGCGTTAACTACACATTTTTGAAGGAGAGAGTGTCAGTAGGATCGACCTGCAAAACCGACAGAACCTTCCTCTTCGTGTGAAGTGGGTCCCCCCCCCCACAGACATTTTCAAGTTTCAAAAAAGAGGGTCACTCGCATGTGAAGTGAGTCTTTCTAAAAGCAAAAGTGCCAGTAGGATCGCCTTGCCAAACAGGCTCAACCTCCTTCTTCGTGAGCTGGTCCCCCCCCCCCCCCAAACACACACACATTTTCAAAGAGCCAGTCGCATATTGTTTGGGGGGGGGGGGGACCAGCTCACGAAGAAGGAGGTTGAGCCTGTTTGGCAAGGCGATCCTACTGGCACTTTTGCTTTTAGAAAGACTCACTTCACATGCGAGTGACCCTCTTTTTTGAAACTTGAAAATGTCTGTGGGGGGGGACCCACTTCACACGAAGAGGAAGGTTCTGTCGGTTTTGCAGGTCGATCCTACTGACACTCTCTCCTTCAAAAATGTGTAGTTAACGCTTTCACGGTGACGCCGTTTC